TGACTCGAGTCTGACTCGAGTCCAAGTCATGTGACTCGAGTCCACACCTCTGAGTAGTAGTAGTATTAGTATTATCATCATCGTTTCTCTTTGATACTCCTGTTTGGATTTTCTTCTGTTGAATGAGATTTTAAGATGTCTGTCTGATCTTGGCACCGCTTTTTATTGACAGCTTGTGTGTGTTTGTGTCTCAGGTGGCAGGTCGAAGGTCCAGACAGGTGTTTGAGCCTGCAGCGGGCGTGTGGTCAACATGGGGGGAGTGGTCAGAATGCTCTCAAACCTGTGGCGTGGGCATCTCACAGAGGAGCAGGAAGTGTTTACCTCCATCTCCTCCGCAGGCCCCTCCACTATCCCACTCTCCACCAAACTGGGCAGGTTATCTTCCCGGGGGCGTCAGAGATCCTGCCGTCTCACCTGTGCGTCCCTATTATCCTCCTCGTTACCCTGGGCAGCACCACCTGCCTTATCGCTCTACGTCAGTCTCCACCAATCAAAACCCAGGATTGCCTCTTTATCGGGACACACCCGCTGAAGGAGGAGGAGGGCCTCCCATACCAGCGCAAACCAATCGATCACCTCCTTTGTACCAGCCAGAATTCTCCTCAAACAATCAAGACCCCGTGCCTCCTGTTTTCAGATCTCCCTACCGTGCGCCAGCACACGGCTACAACCAGCCAGCACGGGTCATCAGGCGACCAACCAATCCTGGAGCACTGAGAGCAGGAGGAGGGGGGAGCAGAAGGTCGGTCTCCACCAGCCGGGAGGGTTTACCTACAAGAAGGTTAGTGATTTAAGAAAAAGACCAAAAAACACAGCTAATTTTACTTAAAGAGCAACAGTTTGGGTGCACCACTGCACCTGTAACCCACCCAGTTGTGACGTAACAGCGTAACAAAACACCTTGAGGATGATGACCTATAAACCACCACGTCAAGAAAAACAAGGTCCAAATTTAAGGATGCTAATCTACGTAAGCTTCTTTCCATCACAGTTATGGCACGTATCAAAAAAACCCAAAAAACAGAACATTTACATTTTGCCTTACTCAGCACTCTTGAGTTCGCTTTTTCCAGGAAAATGTCAAAGGAAGTGAGTTTTGCATCGCTGGCAGTAGCAACGGCGGTTTGTTTAGGATAAATAGACGGACTCGGTTGTTTGGATGGGGAACAACAGCATCACCGTGGACAAAAACACAAGAAAAGATTGATCACTGGGCGTGAGGGAAGGTGTGATGTTACAAAGATGAAAGAAACTGCCGGTTTGTTTTCAGAGTAATGTTCGACTGACATGTTGAGGCTTCATTCAGGTGCCATTAGTTAAACCGCTGACATTGTTTAAGCATTACAGGGTTTGTTATTATGTTTCAAGCTTTGGGAACTTGCCCAGCTCTGTTTCTGGTATCTACTGTATTATTACATCATTACGTCTGTTTTTTGTCATCCAGACAGGCAAGGCATCACCCTTCCCGCTCACCACAGGCTGCTGGTTGTGTGTCGTTTATAATAAATTTACTCTGCCTCTCTGTCTCTTCTCCTTCCTCTTCTTCATCTGCCTTTTCTTTTTGACCCTCAGGTCTTCCAGCATCCGTCCAGGTCAGTTTGGATACGGCAGAGTTCCCTTCTCTCTGCCTTTGCATCGTCAAAACCGCCAAGCTCGTCACACTGTGAACGGCACTGAAGATGCCACAGTAGCGCCCGAACAGGCTGCTCCTGAGGACATCACAGAGAGTAACAGGGGAGAGGAAGAGGAGGCTGAGAGGGGTGAAAGGGACAGGCAGGAGGAGGAGAATGCAGAGCGGGAGATTTCTGAGACACCTGCCGCAGAGAAGGTGCCCACAGTTCCCACCATCCGCCCTCTGCTGCGACCCTCTCACACCCATACACAGCACGGGAGGGCCAGAGGGCAAGTCCCACCCTCTCGTCCCTTATCACGTTCCTCGCTACCGTCTGTCTTCAGTAACCGCCAACGGTTTGACTGGAGCTCCGTCACTGCCCCACCTCCACCTGTCCCTCCTCTGTCGCGGCCCTACTCCCCTGCAGCCGGTTCACCTTTTTCCCCACCTCTCCACCGCAGCAGCCCTGTGCACAGAGACAGGGAGCTCCACCCGGCCTTCAGTCCCCAAGCTCCACCTGCCGGAAGCATCTACCCCTTACAGCACCCGCACGTCTCACACCTGGGGATGGAGTCAGGCAGGGAAGGTGGGGCTCCTCGCACGTACACATGCGCAGGGCCGGAGAAGGAGTACCGCAGGTGTTTCTCGCAGGTAAGACCTAAAGATTGTGTCCAAATCTTCCCCTGTGAGTCTTCAACACACAATTAATTTTCCACTTAATATACCGGCTTCACACCCAATCATTCAGTCTACAGTCGCGCTCGCTTCGTATGCGTGCAGTGAATATTTGATAGGTAGACTATTCTCCAGTTTCTCCAGTTCCAACAGTAGCTGGTTGTCTCTGAGCACTGAGACGGAAAATGCCTCCTACTGCTTCCGCTACGCCATGCCATTTGTGTATTCTGGGATACAACCAGAACACACATTTACTCCAGTGAAACTACACAAGAAAATTAAGCACATGTGCATGTCTTTACAGCACACATACATGTGAGTATAAACACTGTGGGTGTTACTCTGGGCAAATGCACATCTGGCTCGGGCCCTGCATTGATTGCCGTCTTATGATTGGGGTTGCGACCTGCTCCGTACCTATCAGTGCAGCACAGTGAGAGCTTTATCTGAGCAGAGAGCTGCCAAGAAGAGGAGCCAGAGACACCGTCGGGCTGCTCGTGCCAGATGGGCCAACTCACTGTCAACGCACAGGTGAGAATCTGGGGTCGACCTTGCAGCAAATCAGGCTTCACTCAGGCGAGAACGCCGCACTTGATTTCACTCAATTAATTGTGAGATTTAGAGTGAATATTGCGGATAAAGTTTCCGAGCAGTACAGCAGGTATTAGGTGTATCTATGGTGCCATTTCAAGCTGACCTTACTTGTTTAAAAAGGGAAAATAACTCAAAGCACAAAGGCTCTGCACATATGATAGTATTTTCAGCCATCAGCTGCATTCAGCCTGGTAGGATTACAATTGGCAAGCTTAGACGTTTTCCACCTCTTGCTATGGCTGCTGTAAATTAACAGCAGACTTCCACACAACCTTCAGCCATCGCTGCCATTTCTCAACTATCAATCAGTCAAATCTGGTCTCTGGAGAGGGCGACAGCACATGGAAATTTACATATTTCAGCTCCAGTAGCCAAAAAGTGTTAACTGTAGTCAGGCATTTATAAAAATACCTGATTTATAGACACTGTGTGATACCTGAGGATCAAATTAAAATGCTTTCGTGCACGTGGCAACAAGTATCCAAAGCTATTGTTCAGTTTTCTTAGCTTTTCAGCTGCTTTAAAGAATGATTGGAATTATATGAGGACTAAACCTTAGATACATGCGTAAAAGCTAACCTCTCCCTCTGCAGATGGAGAGACGATTAAACAAAACTGAGCACTCGAATCACGGCAAAAATACCCAGGGTGACATGTGACTGGGTTATTTATTCCAGCAGGTCTATCTTAAGTGGGCGCGCAGGAGGACGTGATAAGACTGGGCTCAATGAACGCCACACTCACATGCGCACCTACACCCTCCTGCCCCCACAGTCCACATCTACAGCTTGCTCTCATCAGAGTGGAAGTAGACACTCGAACGGGGCACTCACGTTGGCACTCACAATCCCTTGACTTTTCCCTCTGCAGATAATTTGGCAGCCTCTCTGCACTTGTCTTTTATCCCCCTATCTTTCTTTCCTTCTGTCTGTGTCCTGTTCAGTGCTCAGTCGTCCCCATTTTAAAACAGATTTAGTAGCTGGCAGAATACATGACCTGTGTGTGCCAAGAGTGCTAATAGCAGTCCTGTGATGGCTGAGCCTGACTCATTGGGTTACATATTTACCCAACATTAGCCTCTGTTTCAGCCTCTCTTGCTGCTCCAGTAGATTGTTGGTTTTATGTGTCTTAAAAATAGGTTCAAGTCCTGCTGAATGCAAGACTTTGCCCAGGCTTGTATGAACTGTATATATAATGTGTGTGTTTGTAATTCAGGGAGTGAGCCAGATCTGGAGAATGACACATCCTATTATCTATTAGGTGTGTTTGTCAAAACACGGTGTGCCTGAGGCACATTGCAAGTGTGATTGGCTGTTGCAGTGAAGCAAATGGGGAACCAAGAGAGGGACAGAGGAAGCGAGAAGGGCCAAAGGTCAGATGTGCAAGATGTGTGCGTAAGTGTCACAGCGAGGGAATAAGGGGAGGGTGGTAAAGGAAGTGACGCAGTTAAGTAGTAGTGAAAGGGAGTACTGTTTTTAGAAAATGTGCCCATAGTAGTGGGAGGGCGAGCCAAAGGGCAAGGGAAGTAAAAAGGTGGGGAGGGAGCAAGGCGGTGAAGACAGAGAGATGGAAAATGAATGAGTGTTTTGGTGTGGAAGGATGGGGACAGAGGTGTAGAAGGAGGCGTGGTTCACTGAAGAAAAACAATTGACTTGGATGGAGAGGAAGAAAAAGGTTCTGCTGGAAGACGAAGTTTGTGTCAAAGGAAGAAACAGATTCATGGAAAATTGTGTGTGTGTGTGTGTGTGTGTGTGTGTGTGTGTGTGTGTGTGTGTGTGTGTGTGTGTGTGTGTGTGTGAGTAAGAGAAAGAGTTTGGGTTCATGTGTGTGTGTAACAGGAGAAGAAGTTATTCTGTGTGAGGAAGAGCAGAGGAGAAGGTGAAATTTGAGAAGAAGAGGGGGAAAAGAGTTAGAAGCAGACGCATCACAAAGACACCTCCTGTCCCTTCCTGTCCGAGGTCTTTCTAATAAATTTCTGCGATCGTCTAAGTGCTCCATCTTGTCTCGGTTCCTCTTTCTGTGCTTTACATGAGTGTAAATATTTATGTAGAATGACTAACAGTGAATACTTCTACACCAGAAAGTCAAGGAAGCGATCCTCAGACCCAATGATGTCATTTATAGTCACGACCGGCAGGACATCCACATCGCACTTTCCAAAAAACACAGTTTTATTAGTCCTAGTTTAGTGTCCTCTCTCTATATCCAGTTTCCTCTTAATTTATTGTTCTTGTCATTGACCTAAACCAGTGTTTCTTCCTTTACTGTATTCCTCAATTTGGAAGCCAAGATAAACTTCAGTCCTCACCAACAAAAGGCTCTGAGGTGAGATTTAAGGTAAAATCAGAAAACTCCTGCAGTGGTTCTGTGCCCACCCGTCGGTTACAGAGCCACAGTTTGAGAACCACAGGCTTAAAGCAACATTATTTATGACCCTCCTCAAACCGAACTCTTCATCTTGATGAGACAATAACACAAAAGATAATGCATATAATGCTTTTATGTATTAAAATTTCACTGATTTCACTCCTATATCTGACCCACTTCCACAGCACTGTGCAAAAGTCTTGCACCACCCCTCATTTCTTTACAATTTGCTAGGAAAATGCAAAATAGTATTGATTTATTACAACATATACAAACATGCCTGGAATACTTTTGGTACTGATCCCCAACAGCACTGGCAGAAATGCTGCCCTTTCATAGACGGCTGTCGTCCCTCTCTCCTGACCTCCTCTGTACATATTATGATGATTAGAAACACAGATTTTTCAAATTTAGATTAATCACTCCATAAGTTTCCAGTAATTTTCAGCTAGGTTCTTCTGTTTGCTGTACAAATAAGTACAATTTTATTCTGGTCAAACTGCATTTTTTTGTATTGTCAATTAAAGAAATAGAAACAAATAAGATGGTTTTCTAACAGGCTGCTGGAAACAAAGTCCCTAAACATATAATTTAATATGGTTCTTTCCCATTTTGTTTGTTATGTGTAAACACAACACTGGTTCATCCTAAGTTAGGGGCTTTTTTTATGGTTGAATGATTCATAGGTCAGTGTTAAGTGTCTTAACAAACTAAAAAAAATCCTCTGAAACTGATCTGGTACAGGGAGTGGAATGAAAATGGGGAACTTGGAAAGATTTTCTAAACTATCGCTCAAAACCACCAAAAAAAAGTAGTCTGGTTCGTTGGAAGCAAAATATAAAGAAATGAGGGGTGTTTCGAGACTCGACACAGACACAGCACTGTGCGTTCTGGCCATCAAGACAAGCACACTCCTGTTTTCAGGCTGCTGCAGCGAGTCAGATGATCTAATCACACTCTGTCATTACAGAAGTGGTATTAAACAGAAAATATATTATGACTAACAGAGCTGAGGGGCCACACTCCTCAGCTCTAATGAGTGTGTGCTGGCCCTGCCACGCTCACTGCGGTTCCCAGGAAGTGACAAACGGGCCCAGATGTGGTGGGTTGTGGCATGAAACCACACAGACTCATTCACAGGGATCTGAGCTTTATGTGCTTTAGTGCATTAGCAAGCAGAGCTACCTGCTTTTCTAGAAAACAACAGAAAAGCAGGTGCTGCCTGCTTCGCCTGCTTTTAACAGCTACTGCGTCCTGATTACTTTCATGTTCCTTTGATCTCTTTCGGTCTGTGTTTAGTTAGCTGAAGAATTGTGAATTAAAACCACAGAAGTACAACTGCCAAAGAAAAAAATATAACTTTAGAAAACTTTTATTTGGGGGCAAATCAATAAACTTTTAAAGCCTTTTTTGATCAAATTTGGCTGATGGCTGCATGCTTTCAAGAATTTCAATATTAATTAACGATGTAGGTTGTTATTTGTTGGGTTGCGCACTTATTTGCACGGTCATCCAATGAAATGCAGTTTTGTCTGATGCCTCCTCCATCTCCCAGCATGCTCAAGATGACTTTTAGCATCAGTCCTCAGATAACTAGAACTAAACTTAAAGCTAAAGCGAGAGTTGAGAGAGAGAGAGTTGTAATAATCTCACCATCTACATCTTTGTTAAGATAATCAAGTAAATGTTGAAGGAATTCAAGCTGAAAGGCTCATTAGATAAAAACAAGGACATAAATATATATTACAAAGTCATATAGAAGATGTTCCAGTAGAAACAATCTAAATGCCATATTACATCACCCTCAGGGACATCTCAGCTCTTAAAGATGAATGAAATTAAGCATCAGCAGCTCGGAGGTGAATTCACAGAGAGATCAAATATTTCCAGGTTCAGACGGTTGGACTCTTGCTGCCTCTGTCTCTCTCTCTTTCTGAGGTCCAGGTGTTATTAAGAAAGTGAGGGTGATTTCTAGGTATTAAAAACATTCTGGTTTAAAAAATATGTTGTGGATT